CATTCCAAAATAAATCAAATAAAAGCGTACCCATATTACAAAGGTCAAACATGAAATGCAGTGACTGAAATTGGAAAAATAATCCGTTACAATAATATGAAGAGGAACACTTTCTATAATTTGTTTAGTCACAATCTTCTTTGTAAATTTATTAGTAAAAAGCAAAGACAAGATATGGTTATTTTTGCAGAACATTTCACACGGATGCGATTGAAAATATTTTAGAGATCAAATAATACAAAATAACGTCATACAATAAGAATGACACATTAACTCAACCCAGAAGGCTCCCCGTTGGCTATGGGGATCGAACCAGGAACTTTTGCAGTGTAAGGCACCAGCATAAACCACTGTATCACTGTGCCACTGTCTTAGGCATTTGTATCATTTACATAACTTACGCATTTAGTCTGTGTGCAATTCTTTGCCAAGCCGCCTCCCTGCCTATATTTATGGCCACAGTATTGCCTTTTTAGAGATTACATCTTTGTATTCTTCATACAGCTCCATCAGCAGCGTTTGTTCTGCAGTGGAAAAAACACCGCTCTCATTTCCGACTCATTTGATTGATCTATTGTCCATCCATTCATCTGGGCTTCTTAAATATCTCGGTTGTGTGCACTAAGTGAGACTATGCAAGTCTGTCTTATATGAACCTTGATTAGTTAAAGCTGAACTGCGTTAGTGGAATGACATGGGGCTAAGTTTACAGATGCCGCTAGTTTGAGTCTGACTTTTTGCGGGAAAGTCTGGCTTTCTTTAGCTACTTTCATGGAATACCCCACAGAGAAACAAAGAATTCTTCTTTATGTGCTTTATTTGCTTCATCGAATAACACAGAAAATAATTGTGGGGAAAAAGTATAAAAGTTTAGCATAATTTAATGAAAAATATATTCCTGGCTCCATTATTGAAATACATTTTATTTAAACCCCTAACATGATTATTTTCCCATGCAGGAATTACAATGTGGGATCTTGAAGACCTTAAAAAAGACTCAGATGAAAAAATTCAGCACAACACGGAATTTGATGTCATTGCATCTGATTCTGTAGAGGATAAGGCAAGGGCTTTGGATGTTGATGCTTCACTAAAAGCAAGTTTTGTAGGGGGACTGGTTGAGGTAGGTGGATCTGCCAAATATCTTAAGGACAAAAAGACTTCGAAAAAACAGGCACGTGTCACCCTGACGTATAAAACAACTACGAAGTTCAGACAGCTGTCTATGAGTCACCTTGGACGGGGAAATGTTAAACACCCATATGTGTTTGAGAAGGGAATAGCGACACACGTGGTAACAGCAGTGCTGTATGGTGCTCAGGCATTTTTTGTTTTTGATCGAGAAGTTTCAGAAAGTGAGGACCAGCAGAAGATTGAGGGGAACCTGCAAGTGATGATAAAGAAAATACCATGCTTGTCAATCGAAGGGGAGGTTGACTTAAAGCTGACAGACACTGACAAAGCTACTGTTGAAAAGTTTTATTGTAAATTCTATGGGGACTTTGCTCTGAGACAGAACCCTGTTTCCTTCCAAGATGCTGTAAAAGTATACACAACACTTCCAGGTCTGCTGGGTGAAAATGGGAAAAACGCTGTGCCAGTCAGGGTGTGGTTACTCCCCCTGGAAATCTTAGATTCTTCTGCTGCCAGATTAGTGCGTCAGATCAGTGTCAGATTAATAAATGAAACACAGAGTGTGATAGATGACTTCAATGAAATAGAAATGCAATGCAATGATATTGCAACCAGAAAGGTTTTTTCA